GATGATGATGATGATGATGATGACGACGATGACGACGATGATGATGATGATGATGATGATGCTGATGACGATGATGATGATGATGATGATGATGATGATGATGATGATGATGATGATGATGATGATGATGATGATGATGATGATGATGATGCTGATGCTGGTGCTGATGCTGATGCTGGTGATGATGATGCTGATGCTGATGCTGATGCTGATGCTGCTGATGATGATGATGATGTTGTTGTTGATGATGATGATGCTGATGAGGATGACTTGTTTATGATGATGGTGATGATGAGGAGGAGGATGACAATGATGATTAGGAGGGAGAGAAGGGCGAACAGAAACGCCCGAAGCCTCTTGAATGCCTCCCGGACTCTTCGCGGAAGTCGCTTGGAAATTATTTGGAGGTTTTTTAGGGCGTCTCGGGGGGCATCTTGGCGGGCCCAGGGCCGTCTTTGAGCGTCTTGGGTGCCTCGGGGATCATCTTGAGGCCTCTGGGGGGTCTCTGGGGATCTTCTTGGATGGCCTTCGGGCGCCTCTTGGAGCCGTCTGGGCACCCTCTTGGGGCCTTTTTGGGGCGCTCTTGGGAGCTTTAGGGGCGCTCTTGTAGCTATCTTGGAAGACGTCGATACAACAAGAGGAGATCTTTCATTAGCTTTGCCCTTCTAGAGTGCAGATCGCCTCCTGGGGCGCTCTCTTGGGCCCCTCTTGGATTACTCTTGGGCAATCTTGGAGCCATCTTGATGCCTCGGACGGTCACCGGAAGCGAACAGGCCAACAAGCCAAACATATTGTTTTCCTCATGTTGTTGAAGGATGCTGGTCTTTTTGGGGCCTCCTTTGGGAGCTCTCTGGCCACTTGGAGTCGTCTTGAGGCGGTCTTGGGGCCTCTTGGAGCATCTTGGAAGCCATCATGAGCAATCTTGCGCTATCTGGAGACCTCTTCGAGGCCATCGTCACCCTCTGAGGTCATCTTGAAGCCATCTTGGGCTAACTTGGACGCTCCAACTACCCGCGACCACCCCCGTCCAAGTCCAGGGGAGGGGGTAAGGGGTACAGGGGGAGTCAAAACCCCTCCCCGAAGGGGAAGGAGGGGGATGAGAGAGGAGGACCCCCCCTAAACCACTTACGCCCGAAAGGGCTGGCGGGACTCGCCCTTCTCGAGGGAGGAGGGGGAGGGAACAGGAGGGGGAGGGGTGGCAGTGGCAGAGGCCGGGTTGCCACTGTGAAAAGTGGGGTCGACAGCCCGCCGTCCAGTACGTGGACGAGAGGGGTCAGCCGATCCAGTACATGGAGGCTCTTCAGGCTCCAGCCGTCTTCGTGCTTCCTCCTCGCCCTCCTCGAGGGAGGAGGAGAAGGAGGAGGCAGGGCCGCCTACGATCCGATCCGATGGGATTCGATTCGGCGGCTCGGGCCGCGATTCCGGTTCGATTCGATTCGGTCTGTTTCACCAGCACCGGCCAGGGCTTGCCGAAGCTGGGCGCGGCGATCGTATTTCACGTTCGATGTGATACGGAAATGATTCGTGGGCGCCGACCCGTTTTCGATCCGATCCGATGTCACAGTTAGATCCAGCTCGTGCCTGGGAGGGGCGGAAGTCTCGGAGGATGAGGCGGGTTGCCGCTGTGAAAGCCGTTGTCGACAGCCCGCCGTCCAGTACGTGGACGAGAGGGGGCAGCCGATCCAGTTCGCTCCGCAGGCGCGGGCCGTCCTCGTGCTTTCTCCTCGCCCTCGAGAGAGCAGGAAGGGGCGGACGTCGTGGAGGCGGAGGAGGAGGAGAAGGAGTAGGAGGAGGGTGAGGAGGGAGGAGGAGGAGGGTTTTGGAGCTGGCTGGGGGTCTGAGGTGGCCCAGCATTGGTTCTGGCGGGCAAGAAGGAGGGGGCGAGGTTCGAGAATCTGGGTTCGAGAAGGTTTTTGTCGTTTTTGCCTCTGTGGGCCGTTTTCGGTCTCGGAACTGTCAAACACGCATCCAGGGTGAAAAACTGCACCAGTGGACCCCAGGAGGGGTCCAGGGGCCGATGTGGAGCAGACTTCGCTTCATCCCCCCTTCCTGACAGATTTTCTCGGGGCCCATGTGATCGTTTTTTCCCCAAACAGCTTGCTGAACGGGGTGCTGTTGTGATAGAAGCTAACTCTGGCCGAGGGAGGTCGAAGCAGAGACATCCTCACAAAAATTTGATGGTCCGGGCCGTTTCGCTTGAGACATCCTCACAACTCTCGTTTCTGAGTTGGCCGGGATTGGCCGTTTCGCCTGAGACATCCTCGAAAAGTTGCGCTCCGGGACGCCGCGCGAGAGGTGGTCCGGGCCGTTTCGCTTGAGACATCCTCGAAACTCTGAGCCCCGAGGTGCCGTGCGAGAGGTGGTCCGGGCCGTTTCGCCTGAGACATCCTCGAAACTCTGAGCTCTGAGATGCCCTGCGTGAGGTGGTCCGGCCCGTTTCGCCTGAGACATCCTCGCAACTCTGACCTCTGAGATGCCGCGCGAGAGGTGGTCCGGCCCGTTTCGCCTGAGACATCCTCGAACTTCTGAACTCTGAGATGCACTGCGCGAGGTGGTCCGGCCCGTCTCGCCTGAGACATCCTCGCAACTCTGAGCTCTGAGATGCCGTGCGCAAGGTGGTCCGGCCCGTTTCGCACAAGACATTCTCGCAACTCTGAGCTCCCAGATGCCGCGCAAGAGGTGGTCCAGCCTGGGGGCCCAGAAGACCACATGTTACATATCCTCCTTGGGACCCTGGGAGCCCGCCTGAGACATCCTCGAACTTCTGAGCTCTGAGATGCCCTGCGCGAGGTGGTCCGGCCTGTTTCGCACAAGACATTCTCGCAACTCTGAGCTCTCAGATGCCGCGCAAGAGGTGGTCCAGCCTGTGGGCCCAGGAGACCACATGTTACATATCCCCCCTGGGACCCTGGGAGCCCCAGGAGGCCCCAGAGAGCTTCAGGAGGCCGCAGGACGCCCAGGACAGGCCCCAGGGGTCCGCAGGAGATTCCCAGGAGGCTCCTAGGAGGCCCGAGGAGGCCCCCTATCAGAACGTGTCAAGTTCATACACATCCGGTGTCGATTCGTTGATTTTTCCTGCTCTTGTGGCCCCCTCTCCCCATTTTTGGGGGCCCCGACGGCCACATGTTGAATACCCCCACCTGGGAGCCCCAAGAGGCTTCAGGAAGCCCCAGGTGGGGTCCAGGAGGCCACAGGAGGCCCAGGAGGAAGCCCCAGGAGGTCACCAGGAGGCCCCAGGAGGCCCCAGGAGGCCCCCGCAACTCGGAGCTCTGAGACGCCGCGCTCGAGGTGGTCCGGCCCGTTTCGCCTGAGACTTCCTCGCAGCACGTTTCGCCCGAGACACCGTCGCAACTCTGGGGTCCGAGATGCCGCGCGCGAGGTGGTCCAGCCCGTTTCGCCCGAGACATCCTCGCAACTCTGGGCTCCGAGATGCCCTGCGCGAGGTGGTCCGGCCCATCTCGCCTGAGACATCCTCGCAACTCTGAGCTCTGAGATGCCGTGCGCAAGGTGTCCGGCCCGTTTCGCACAAGACATTCTCGCAACTCTGAGCTCTCAGATGCTGCGCAAGAGGTGGTCCAGCCTGGGGGCCCAGAAGACCACATGTTACATATCCCCCCTGGGACCCTGGGAGCCCCAAGAGGCTCCAGAGAGCTTCAGGAGGCCGCAGGACGCCCAGGACAGGCCCCAGGGGTCCGCAGGAGATTCCCAGGAGGCTCCCAGGAGGCCCGAGGAGGCCCCCTATCAGAACGTGTCAAGTTCATACACATCCGGTGTCGATTCGTTGATTTTTCCTGCTCTTGTGGCCCCCTCCCCATTTTGGGGGGCCCCGACGGCCACATGTTAGATGTCCCCCCCCTGGGAGCCCCAAGAGGCTTCAGGAAGCCCCAGGTGGGGTCCAGGAGGCCACAGGAGGCCCAGGAGGAGGCCCCAGGAGGTCACCAGGAGGTCCCAGGAGGCCCCAGGAGGCCCCCGCAACTCGGAGCTCTGAGACGCCGCGCTCGAGGTGGTCCGGCCCGTTTCGCCTGAGACTTCCTCGCAGCACGTTTCGCCCGAGACATCGTCGCAACTCTGGGGTCCGAAATGCCGCGCGCGAGGTGGTCCAGCCCGTTACGCTGGAGACATCCTCGCAACTCTGGGCTCCGAGATGCCCTGCGCGAGGTGGTCCGGCCCATCTCGCCTGAGACATCCTCGCAACTCTGAGCTCTGAGATGCCATGCGCAAGGTGGTCCGGCCCGTTTCGCACAAGACATTCTCGCAACTCTGAGCTCTCAGATGCTGCGCAAGAGGTGGTCCAGCCTGGGGGCCCAGAAGACCACATGTTACATATCCCCCCTGGGACCCTGGGAGCCCCAGGAGGCCCCAGAGAGCTTCAGGAGGCCGCAGGACGCCCAGGACAGGCCCCAGGGGTCCGCAGGAGATTCCCAGGAGGCTCCCAGGAGGCCCCAGGAGGCCCCTATCAGAACGTGTCAAGTTAATAAACATCCGGTGTCGATTCGTTGATTTTTCCTGCCCCCCCCATTTTGGGGGGCCCCGACGGCCACATGTTAGATATCCCCCCCTGGGAGCCCCAAGAGGCTTCAGGAAGCCCCAGGTGGGGTCCAGGAGGCCACAGGAGGCCCAGGAGGAAGCCCCAGGAGGTCACCAGGAGGTCCCAGGAGGCCCAGGAGGCCCCCGCAACTCGGAGCTCTGAGACGCCGCGCTCGAGGTGGTCCGGCCCGTTTCGCCTGAGACTTCCTCGCAGCACGTTTCGCCCGAGACATCGTCGCAACTCTGGGGTCCGAAATGCAGCGCGCGAGGTGGTCCAGCCCGTTACGCTGGAGACATCCTCGCAACTCTGGGCTCCGAGATGCCGTTCGGGATGAAGAGGAGGTGGTGGAGGAGGAGGAGGAGGAGGAGGAGGAGGAGGAGGAGGAGGAGGAGGCATGTTTTAACATGCCATGCCAGCCCGCACTGGATGGGCACGCAATCGACCTTGGAAACCGCAGTGGGTCTAAAAACCTGTTTGGGGATACTGGGCTATATTTTATTCATTGTTTTGCCGATCGGCGCGGGCCCACGCCCCCGCCTCCACCCCCCCCCCCCCTATAGAGTAGAACTTCGTAGTTTTTGGTACTTGTTTCGAGCAGGTGGAGTCTCCCCTATAAGACTGAGCTGGATGATCCAGCTCAGTCCCCCTGGCCGCCCCCAAGGAGGAGGCGGGTTGTCGCTGGGGAGCCCGTGGGAGCAGGTGTCCCGCGCTCAGCTTGGAACCTTGGCCATCCTTGGTCGTTCGGCCCTCCCCTCGAGCAACGGTAGCCTTCTCTGACAGGACTGCTCGAGCTTCTCCGACAGGCTGCAGAGAGCTTAGTCCTCTCTTGCTTCCACTGGCTCCTCTGTCTGCGCGCCCGACGACTTAGCCGCCGCTAAGGCGCATCCTGTGGGTCCTCCTGTGTCGTGTCAGACGATATGGGGGACTGGGAGAGGGCGGGTGATATACTGGCGCCTCCAGCGCCAGGAGGCGCCGGACAAAATAGTTGCATGCAGCTGGTTCGCCGCCCCACTTGCTGTCCCCTCCGTTCCCGTCCGCCCCGGCAGTGGGCCTCGCGAGCGTCGCGAGCCTCTCCGCCCACGCCACACACTTATATAAGCTTCCGCTCGCCATGGAGCAAGGGTAAGCGATCAATCAGCCACGCGCAGAGGGGGGTGGGGGGAGGGGGGAGGGCCTCTTAGAAGCACCCTGCGATAGAAAGGCGCGGTCTTCTCTATAGATTTAAGGCCGGCGCCTTCTAAGAAGCAGCCTCCTTCTAAGAAGCCCTCCCCCCTCCACCCACCCCTTCGTGCGCGCTGCCAGATCAAGTCTGATCTCCGCTCTCAGCTCGGCTCCCGGTATTGAAGGAGCGATGGCCTCCGGTACCTGGCATCGCTCGGACGTGTGCAGTTTTCCTTCGGCGAGGACCATCGAGGAGCATCCTAGATCATTTGGCGAAAAAGCCACGCACGAGACCGAAAAAAACACAGGGAATGGACGTCCGAGCGATGGTCTCCGGTCAGATCTCCTGGACAGGCTGGGTGGTGCCCAGGACCTCGGCCGATCGACTCTCCCGTTTTTTTATCGGGCCTGGGTTAGGAGGAGGAGGAGGAGGAGGAGGAGGAGGAGGAGGAGGAGGAGGAGGAGGAAAAAGAGGAGGAGGGGGAGGGGGAGGGGGAGGGAGAGGGAGAGGGGGAGGTCGGGGGAGGGAGGAGGAGGAGGAGGAGGAGGAGGAGGAGGGAGGAGGAGCAGGAGGAGAGGAGGATGGAGGAGGAGGCAGGAGAGGAGAGGAGGCGGAGGGAGGAGGAGGAGGAGGAGGAGGAGGAGGAGGGGAGGAGGAGGAGGAGGAGCGGAGGAGGAGGAGGAGGAGGAGGAGGAGGAGGAGGAGTTGGAGGAGGAGGAGGGGAGGTAGGACGCCTGGAGGAGGAGGAGGAGGAGAGGAGGAGAGGAGGAGCGTCGCGCGGGAGGGGGAGCGCCGCGGAGGAGGCGCGGCCTGTGTGTGCAGTCAGAGACCTTGGCCATCTTCGCAAGACTAGAGGTTGACACCAGCACCAATGTCGGCGCTGACACCAATGTCGGCGATGCGCCTCCACCGAGGGAGGAAGGTCCCGATTTCGGCGATGGTGGTCATATTCTGGCTTCCAGGGTGGTCGAAACATTACCACCAACACCGAAATCTAAGATCACCTTCCCCCCGTGGAGGCAACCCCCCTGTGTTGGTGTTTGTGCCGACTTCCAGGCCTCCAACTTTGCTTTGGAGGAGGTTGAATATCGGCCGTGGTTCGCTGCGGGGCGTTTCATGGGAGCGGCGGACACCGTCTGGAGGGAGACCTTTTGCAGTGAATGGTGTGTGGCTTCTGGACGGCGTGCGTGCACGCTCTGATAAGACTTTCAGAAGTACAGACGATCGACCTTTGTAGGATGCTAGGTAGATGTGCAGTGCGCAGCATGGCTTCCCCGTGACCATCTCTCGGCTCTGCTTGACGGCGTACGCTGGAGAATGCCATGGGGTCTTGATCAATGTAGCTTTCTTCGCGAAGGGCGGTATCATTGCCAGCTGCTCTCACTCGTGTCAGCAGCCTCAGCACATTGGACTAGATCGAAGGGTCTATTTGCATCACGTATGTCCTTCATATCGGCAACACTGCTCTTCATGCCACTGGGTCCGAGTCTGAAGGCGCCTCCCAAGCCGCATGGTTGCTCAAGCTCAGGCTTTGCAGCGCCTGATGGTCCCCGCAGGGGGGCCCAGCTGCCAGTCTACTCCCTGGCTATTTCTCCTCCACAGGCCTTCTCGTCAGAATTGCTTTCATCATGTCCTTAGTTGCTCGATGTGCCTTCTCGCCTCTGCCCGTCACCCCGCTGCCCCCTCATCATGGGCCCGCTTGCTCTCCACGGCCGTCTGCTCTCAGCGCTCGACCCTTCTTTTGATCCGTGGAGGTCGCGCAGTACGCGCAGGCTCCGCAGATGCTGACGGCGCCCTCCATGCTTGCACCGTCGCCGCGGGGGCGGGTTGGGGATCTCACCACCCACCAAAACACCCCAACCCAACCCGGGGGCGGGGTCGGGGAACATGGAGAAAACACAGATGGAACCCGTACCCCCCCCAACCCGAAATTCGGGTCTTCGGGTTGGGTTGGGATGGTCTGGCAGGTAGTCAGGATAGATGTCGGTGGCACCGGAGCGGGCAAGAGGCCGCCGTGGGGACGAGCGAGCTCTCCGCTGCGGAGCAGCCAGGAGGATGGAGGGGGAGAACGGGGGGGATGAGGAGGTACAGGAAGGAGACAGGATGAGGCTACAGCAGGAGAAAGGGGCAGGAGCACCAGAGTAAGCCCAGGATGCGCCATCGATTCTGCGATGCGCCCTCATGTCCCAAGCACCTCCCCGAGTACGTTCCCACAAGTATTCTCCTTCCACTGCGCGCATCACTCTTTTTAAAGTGAACGCGTCATGGGCCTGCCTGCAATTTAGGCGAGAGCTACGTTTTTGAGAAGGAACAGCGATCTTCCTTTGAAAGCTAAAAGCTATATGAAATTCCAAGGCCCGCCCGTCAAGACCTGCCCGCCCGACCCGCCCATGGGGTCACTTTGCCCAGCCCGATCGTAGTAGTTGGGCTTTACCCAGGAGCTGGCATCCAACACATTGTATGCGAAGATGGCGGGGTCAAGGGCTTGGGGTATACATGTTGAGTGACCCTCAAACAAATAAGAGCGAGCCGTCTTCACAGGTCTGTCGAGTTCTGTTTTCCTGAAAACTGATTACTATTGACTCATCTCACCAGTGCCCATTGTGTTTCTTTCATAGAGGTACCCCTTAGGGTATTCAGGGGAAGTATTGATGCTCTACATGCGTTGTTGGCCTACTGGCTACAGCAACAACGTCTCCCACCTGGGACTTCATACCTTAATGCTCATGAGCCGCACCCTCGCTCGAAGTTTCCTCGCACTTTGTTCAGGAATCACGCTCTCGCCTGGGCCCTTCTTTTGATTCAGTGTGGTACTGCTCTCTCGACGCCCATCAATCGCGCTCTCGCGTGCGAGCTCCTCGCAATTGTTGACGCTTCGCGTATCCCCACCAGCGTCCGTAGCCCTGGCTCAAGCAATTGCCGTCTCGGCTTGAGCCCGCCACTGCCGCCCCGGCCACGGCGCGGAGGCGGCGACAGCGCCGGGCTGCTGCCGCCCCTGCCGCTGGCTCCGTTGCTGCCTACACCCTGGGCGCCGCGGCCGCCGTTGGCGCCGCCGACGCTCCCCACGACGGGCCGCCTGGCCTGGGCCCGCCCCCTGCTGCTGCTGCTGCTGCTGCGGCTGCACCCGCCGCAGCCCGCCTCTTGGAGGCCGGCGCGCGGGAGGCGGCGGCCGGCGGCGGCTCGGCCGCCCTAGCCACGGCCGCCCCTGCTGCTGCCGCCCGCGGCTCCAGCGCGGCCAACGCGAACGGCGACTGCCCGCCGGGCTCCCACAGCGCGGCCAGCGCGAACGGCGCTGCTGGCGCGGCTGACGCGGCCGCTCCCCGCGGCGCGTCCGCCGCCGCGAGCGCAGCCAACGCCGCTGGCGCCGCTGGCTCGGGCTGCCCCGCCGCGGCCTCCGCCGCCAGCGCCCTCCGGGCGGCTGGTGCGGCCAGGGCGGCCCACGCGCGCGCCCCCGCCAGCGCCGCGGACGCTGCCGACGCCCTCGGGCGAGACGGCGCGGTCCGTGCTCGCTGGCCCGCGGCCCGCGCCACCTGCGCCACCGGCGCTGCCGACGCTCCCCGGCGCGATTTTCACTTTCTTCCTTCGTCTTCCAAAGTACAAAGAATGAAATCGTGATTTCCATCTTTATACACAGACTACATCATTGTAAGTTTTAAATCTTCTTTTCGCAATTCCCAACTTACCCACCGCGGCGGCGTTTTGAATCGTGATTTCAATCCATCGGCGCCCCCCGCTTGCCCATCGCGGCGGCGTTTTGAATCGCGATTTCAATCCATCGGCGCCCCCCGCTTGCCCACCGCGGCGGCGTTTTGAATCGCGATTTCAATCCATCGGCGCCCCCCGCTTGCCCACCGCGGCGGCGTTTTGAATCCCGATTTCAATCCATCGGCGCCCTAAGCTACTCTGCGCTACCGCTCTGTGGGGTTTTGTTTCCGTGGCCTGTGGTGTTTCTTTCCGTGGTTCCGTTTCCGTGTCGTTTCCGTGGTTTTGTTTCCGTGGCTTCTGGGGGCCGTGGCCTCTGGGGGCTCGGTTTCCGTGGCCTCTGGGGGCTCGGTTTCGGTGGCCTCTGGGGGTTCGGTTTCCGTGGCCTCTGGGGGTACGGTTTCCGTGGCACATTGGGGCTCGGTTTCCGTGGCCTTTGCTGGGGGTATGGTTTCCGTGGCCTCTGCTGGGGGCTCGGTTTCCGTTGCCTTTGCTGGGGGCTCGGTTTCCGTGGCCTTTGGGAGCTCGGTTTCCGTGGCCTCTGGGGGCTTGGTTTCCGTGGCCTCTGGGGGTTCGGTTTCCGTGGCCTCTGGGGGTTCGGTTTCCGTGGCACATTGGGGCTTGGTTTCCGTGGCCTTTGGGGGTTCGGTTTCTGTGACCTTTGCTGGGTGTTCGGTTTCCGTGGCTTCTGCTGGGGGCTCGGTTTCCGTGGCCTTTGCTGGGGGCTCGGTTTCCGTGGGTTTTGCTGGGGGCTCGGTTTCCGTGGCCTCTGCTGTGGGCTCGGTTTCCGTGGCTTCTGCTGGGGGCTCGGTTTCCGTGGCCTTTGCTGGGGGCTCGGTTTCCGTGGCCTCTGCTGTGGGCTCGGTTTCCGTGGCTTCTGCTGGGGGCTCGGTTTCCGTTGCCTTTGATGGGGGCTCGGTGTCCGTCGCTTTCACGACCCAGAGCTTGCGACGATCATGGAAGATATCCAGTGACATTCGGGCTCTTTCTTTCGGGTCGTCTTCGGGTTCTGGGAGTCTTCGTTTTGAGGGCCCGTCGGAATGAGGACGAGGTGGGGCCCTCTTGGATCCGTCTTGGGGCCCTCTTGGAACCTGGGGCCCTCTTGGATCCGTCTTGGGGCCCTCTTGGAGCCGCCTTGGGGCCGTCTTGGATCTTTGTCAAGGCCTTGGGCAAGGGCCCAAGAGAGCTCCAAGACGGCTCCAAGAGGGCCCCACGAGGGGGGGGGGAAAAACAAAACAAAGCACAAGGGGGGGTCCATATCAAAACCTGTATTGTGTTTTTTTGTGTTTTGTTTTGGCCCTCGTGGGGCCCTCTGGGTGCCTTCCTGGGGCCGTCTTGAGCCCCCTTGGGCCCCCATGAGGCTCCAAGAGGCCCTCTTGGGGCCCCAAGAAGGCCCCAAGAGGGCCTCTCATATGATCGATGATTCCGTGGATGCGTTGAAGTCGTCCCTGGGGGCGGCGGTCGGTGGTACCCGACTTGCTGGCGAGTCTCAGAGATTGGCTCCCGCATAGAAGGTCGTGGATGGGCACGTGTTGAAGGGGGCAGCCGAGGGCAGGGACGGGGGGCAGGAGGAGGGCCCAGGGGGGCGGGCAGGAGGAGGAGGAGGAGGAGGAGGAGTAGGAGGAGGAGGAGGAGGAGGAGGAGGAGGAGGAGGAGGAGGAGGAGGGGGAGGAGGAGGCGGAGTGCGAAGGGACAGGTAGGAGGAGGAGGGGGACGAGGAGGAGGAGGAGGAGGGAGGGAGGAGAAGGATACGGAGGTCAGGGTATCGCAGGGTCCTTACAAGGGTATTGCAGGGTATTGCAGGGTCGTTAACAGGGTATTGCCGGGTGTTGCGCGGTGTTTGCAGGCTCTTTACAATGGGGGTCTTTGCATGGGTCTTTGCTGGGGGCTTGCATGATGGATGCCGGGTTTTTTTGCAGGGCGGATTTGCAGGCCATTGCAGGGGGTCCAGGGGAGAGGGTAGGGAGAGGGGATGGGTCGATAAGAGGGTCCAGGGGAGCCCAGGGGAGAGGGTAGGGAGAGGGCAAGGGAGCAGGGGTCCAGGGGAGAGGGTAAGGAGAGGGCACGGAGAGGGGGAACAAAAAAGCAGGGTCGGGGACGGATTGGGGGCGGCGGCGGGGCACGTGAAAGGTAGTCTTGAAGCCCTGGATTCATATCCGTCTCTAGCTTGTTTCCACTTCCTGTTTGCCGTTGCTCGTGCCGCTGCTCTCCCCTGCTCTCTTAGGCCTGCCGCAGCTGTGTGCACTTCCTGCTTGTGCTGCTCCCCTGTCTGCAGCTCCTGTTGCCTCTCGGCCAATTATGGAATAACCCTACTGCAGCTTCGCTGCTTATGTGCCTCAGGACCCGCCGCGCGCGCTCCTCTGCTGAGCCTCCTTGGGCTTTCGGAGGTGGGACCTCTGGGCTCCTCTTGGAGCCCTCTTGAGCCCTCCAAGCAGCGAATGGGCTCCAGAAGTGAACGATACCGAACACCACAATATATTCAGATGACCATGGCGATCTGAATATCTTTTCCGACCGTCTTGGAGCCCTGCCGAGCTCTCTTGGGGCCTTCTTGGAGTCATCTTGGGCCCTCTTGGGGCCCTGCCGGGCCTTCTTGGGGCCCTGCGGGAGCCCGTCGAGGGCCTTAAGAGGCCCCCAAGGGCCCTTCCAAAATCCAAGAAAATTCTCAGACTTGATGAAGACGGTGTCCGAGATTTTTCTGGGATTTTTGGGGCCCTCTTGGGGCCTTCTTGGGGCCCTCTTGGAGCCGTCTTGGGCCCTTTGGGGCCCTGCCGGACCTTCTTGGGGCCCTGCGGGAGCCCTTCGAGGGCCTTACGAGGCCACTAAGGGCCCCTCCAAAATCCCAGAAAAATCTCAGACTTGATGAAGACGGTGTCTGAGATTTTTCTGGGATTTTTGGGGCCCTCTTGGGGCCTTCTTGGGGCCTTCTTGGAGTCATCTTGGGCCCTCTTGGGGCCCTGCCGGGCCTTCTTGGGGCCCTGCGGGAGCCCTTCGAGGGCCTTAAGAGGCCCCCAAGGGCCCTTCCAAAATCCCAGAAAATTCTCAGACTTGATGAAGACGGTGTCCGAGATTTTTCTGGCATTTTTGGGGCCCTCTTGGGGCCTTCTT